CATTTCATAGGTTTTACAATATCTCGATAGAAATCTGAATAACGAGCTGAGCAGCTAAGGAAGCTGTCTTGAGGACGAGCTGAGCAGCTAGGGAAGCTGTGTTGATGACATGACAGCGAGGGAATCTGCCTTGATGGCGAGTTCGGAAGCTGTCTTGATGATAACCTGACAAGCTAAGGAAGTTGTGCAACTAGGGAAGCAATCTTGTCGACGAACTCGGAAGTTGTCTTGATGACGAGCTCGGAAGTTGTGCATGTAGGGAAGCTACCTTGAGTGACGACCTGACGAGCTAGCGAAGCTGTCTTGAGTGACGACCTAATGAGCCAGGGAAGCTATTTCCATGACAACCTGACGAGGTAGGGAAGGTATCTTGAGTGACGACCTGACGAGCCAGGAAAGCTGTCTCCACGACGACCTGACGAGCTAGGAAGGTTGTCTTGAGTGACGAACTGACAAGCTAAGTTGTCTTGATGACGACCTGACGAGGGAAGTTATCTTGATGACGACCTGTCGAGGGAAATTGGCTTCATGACGATCTGAGCAGGTAGGGAAGTTGTCTGATCGACAAGCTGGAATAGAGTTACGAGCTGAACTAATTGACGGTCTGAATTGAGTTACGAGCTGAAATGAGAAGAGAAGGGAATGAAGAGATCTTATGTATGAGAACTAATGTCAGAGAGCTTGTAGTTGGGTTTTTTGAGCTCTTGTGAAAAATGAATGTCCCCTCCTCAATGGGAGGGTGTGTCTGCTCTATCTATAGAGAAAATGAAATTTTAACCATGGTTTGATTTAAACATTGGTTTCTTTTGGTGAACTAGTTTGGGTCAAGCATCAAGGGTTTTAACAATTAATGGGTTTCGTGGGTTCATCTCAATTTGGGCAGGGCTTTAAGTGAGGGCCGGGTGCTCAACCCATGTCTAACAAATTGCATATCATATATGCTAAATTTAAAATTGTCGAAAAATAGTCGAAGATTGACCTTTTGTAAATATATCCGCATAATAAATTAAGTAAAGTGTATAAAAAATATACAAAGTTATTAGTTCAACTCAGTTCTCTATATTTTAAAGGGTCATTTGCAATAATAACAAAAAAAAACTATAATTAAGATTTTAGAAAAACTTTAGAGAGAGATAGTGAGAGAAAAAAGGGAACTTTGGTTAGTTTTTATATTATAGTTTTTTGTTGTATTTCTAGGAAATAATTCCTATTTTAAATATGGTGTTATCAATGATTCATCTCGAACAATAAAGAAGATATGGACCAAAGTTTCAAAAAATTAGTTTATCAAAATTTTATTATTAAAAAAAAATGTAGTAGGAGGGGAAAATTTGTCAAAATAAAACAAAAAAATTATAATTTGAAAAGTAAAAAAAACCTCAAATCCAATGGTCTACAATTTACCACATACCTCATTTTTTCTAACTTTTAATTTTTTTTTTGGTTATTACCAAAAAGATCCTAGTAGAAATGTGAAATACTCGAACTTGCCTCATAATAATTTTTCTTTTGTGAACGAAGTGAATGACTATAGTTTATGTTGTCGGAAATAGGAACACTTTCAC